GCATATAGCTTCATTAAATATTTTTGACAAACAACCAAAGTCATTTTGCATGTTTATTTTTTTTTAAAAAAGTAGGTATATAATCTCAATTTTGAAAATTAAACTTTTAGCGAAAAATACACATTGCCCATTTCATCTTCCTTGGCTTTTAAGTTTCAATAAAATTCAAAATTTTGAATAATGCAGCTCCTCTTTTGCTTTGCATGCTTAAACAAAATCTTCTTTTGTTTATTTTTATAAATCATTTTTCTTCTGAGTATTTTTTTTATAACGATGATGATTAATTATTATAATATATTTTTGGACAAAAAGGAACAAATAAGTTGGATTTGATCAAAATTCTTTTGGTTTATTTTATTTGCCTGTGTATACCAAACTAATCGGATATCTAATTGTATGAATTAATTGAGTTTTGAATAATGTGACAAACGTATGAAAATGAAAATGGTGTCAAATCTAATCATAATTAAGTCTATTGAGTTAGCCAACACACTAAAGAATTATTGGTGGTAATGTCTTCAATATCGTCAACTGTTTTTTTTTATTAGTCTCATCAATTAATTATGAACATCAAAATTCAATTTGTTGGTTGTAGCTGTTAAATTGTCAGCTACACCATTAAGTTTGATTTTGTAGTCTGGTTTCTAAAACTCCAAAAATAAATAAATAAAATTAATAAATTTAAAATTTAAAATAGAAAAACAAAACTTTTACTAGCTACTTAATTTTTTTTCATTCATTGATTCAATTCATGAATTTAGCCTCTTAAAACATAACACCTCAATCCTTGAAATTTATTGACTAGGAATAAATCAATCTTTATATAGTATTTTGACTCGGTACAATTCAATTATATAATTCTTTAAATCAATAAACTACATAATATTAAATTGTATTGAGTTAAAGTTTAAAAATTAGATTGATAATCAAAGAAAGTTTAGAAACTAAAAGTTATATTATCCCATTTAAATAACATATATAAAAAGCAGTAAACTTTAATTTCATGGGTGATAATAATTTATAGTCTTATTAATCAGTTCATTTATATTAAAGATGAAAAATACAACACTCATTTTCCCGCATGAAGCACCTCAAATATGCACAACACACCTCATATTCAAAACCACATAGTTTTTTTTATTATAATGTTTATTTTTATTTTTTTCAGTTTAAAATTGTAATTAAATGAATTATATCTTGAAAGCTCATGTGTGTCAATAGATAGGTCTCGTGACTCAATGGAATTCTCCCATGAAGGATCATGTGAACAAATTTTTTTATTTTTATGATATATGAATCGCATTTTTATTGACTAAATTAACTTATTTTAATTAGACTAATCTCCGTTGGTAAAATTTATAGTTTTGTGTGATGACTGAGATGCCACGATTGCTTTCTTCCTACCTTTCTTTCTGCCTAATTAAGAGAAATTTCGTACCTAATTTTTTTTTTTAAAGTATCGTCCTTCGTATATAATAGAATTCAAAAGAAATCTCTCATATGAGACACTGTTATTTTTCTTAAAAAGATATATTTGTATTAGATATATGCAATGTGATATACGTTCTGTACTTACAATGACGTATCCATTGGTACCACTTTGCATCCAATATTTGTTCCGATTCAAATTATATATATATATATATATATATATATATGACGTTTTATAACTTAGGATAAGATAAAGCCAAATTATACTTTTAATCCTTTAATTTTAAAATAAATTGGCCCACTAGCCTTATAAAATCTTGTACTAAAAAATATAAAATAGATTTTAAAAATTTGGAAGTATAATCAGTTAACATTGATATACAAGGAATTTATCAATGATATACAACTGACTTATTATTAAAAATATAAAAATTTTACAAAAGCTTTATCATTGATATATAATGATATATCACTGACAAATGTAATAAATCAATTATAATATAAAATATAATAAATATTGAGCTGTTTGCTTGATTTAATTCTACAACATGAGTTATATGTGCAAAAACCCTTAATTGTATACAATATTGTATTTTAATCTCTTAATTTTAAAAAGGTAGTTCGAATTCTTTAATCTTAATGTGATTATTATTCTAGGTCTGAATACACAGGCCAATCTAGTTCTTTAAATAATGTGCTAGAAAGCTAGATAAATTTAGGAATGATGATAATTATGTCCTCGACAAATTTTTCTAAGAAATGAATTGTTGATATTAATTTAAATAATTACAAACAAAATTTTTATTATAATCTAAAAGTCACATTTAGTAATTAAATACTTATTTGTAAATGAAACTTATGATTTTATAATTATCTAGATTGATAACGTCAACTTCTTTTTCAAAAAGAATATCAATTACTTAACTACTATTAATTTAATGTTTTATAACCTAATTGTCATTTGTCCATGAATTTACTGCTAATTAGAAGTGGATTAATTTACTACTAAAGCAACATAACTAATCATGATTTTGATTGATTTCCATTTCCTTCGAAACGGCTTGCACGGACCAAACGGCCCTTTGATGAAGGAAAAAGGAAAATTGCTTTTCATTTTGTGGTGACACAACCTTGCAAGTCACATGCTGTTTGTTGCCAGTACGCTCATACGGTTGCAATACAAACAATTATGGTTTTAGTACTGTCAAGTCCCACATGCAATTTTGTATCCCCACATCAAAATTCAATCAATCAATCATCATTCAATGGAATGACTCCAAAGTCCAACCTAATATCTTATTTATTTATTTATCGTTTTAAGATATATGTTATGATCATTTGGCTTATTCATGTCAAAATATCAATAACAGGCTATTATTTTTACTTGTAAGTAAAAATACAAAAAAAAAATAGTTAGTTGAAAAATCTACCAAATACATTTAAAATTATTTATAACGTTAATTAGGAATCCACAAAAGTTAGATGTGAATCTTTATTTTATACTATTAATATATAGATAAATCATTTAAAAAATTAAGTAAATATATTGAGGATTATTTTAATGTTAGTTAACAATTTATGAAAGTCAGTTGTGAATCACAAGTCAATCCTTTATGATTTGCTTGCTGTCAATATATAGATAAAATGTTTAGAAAATCTATTAAATATAATTGGAATTATTCACAATGTCAGTTGAAGATTTACGAGAGTTAATTACAAATTACAAGCCAATTAATTACTTATGATTTTTTTGCTATCACTTGGAAAATTAACGAAAGATAATTTATTATAAGTAGTCTGATATTAAAATTTTAATAATACCAAGTTTATAATTGTCATTAATATTCTTCCGAAGTCCTTAATTGCCATTTTCCTTTTGTAAAAAATAAATAGGACGCTATTTAAATGAATTATTCTTATTTGAGACTCAACCTGACTTAATTCAGACTAATCAAAAGTTTAATGTGATTTTAGATGAAGCATTTGATGTCAAAAATATAAATACACATTCATTAAATTAAATACTCACTCTATTAAAAAATGTAAGGCATTTTTAACTGAGTCTCACCTCCCAATAAAGTGATTAACTATTTTTTAATTAATTATATCTTTTCATATTTAATCCTATTAAACACCGTATAATAAATATAAAGTCACTATCAATAGGGGTATTAAAAAAAAAAGATAATAATTACACCTCAAAAGACTAAAAAAGCCTTATATTTTTAAACTTCTAACTCCTCAAAAAATATCTTATATTTCTAAATGGAAGGAATAGACAATAAAATGGAACGGGAAAACTTGAAATTATATATGGAGAGAAGTACGGACAAAAAGTATTGAGATGATCATTCCCTTCAAAATGTTGCATTAAAAAGTAGTCACTATAATGTAGGAAAAGAACAAAAGTACTCAGTAAACGTATAGTAAAACTCTCCCATTCTAAAATGAAAAGAAAGAGAATTTATAATCATATGTTATTTTTGTTTGATTGTGTTTTTTCATTGTTTAGGAACAATTCCTGGATGGACTAATTTTTGAGGAATTTTCTTCAACAATCATTAAAATTAAATTGAATCAAAATTTGAATTGAGATTTAAAATGGTATAACCCAATGTTATAAAAATTGGACTGTCATTGAATTGATTGAGACAATAATTTACGAATTGATAGTCAGACTATGGTTAAATTGTGGTTAAATCAACAATGAATAAATAATATATTTTAAATAATATATGTTTAAAATAAAAAAGAAATAATAATCCATAATAATAAAAATTAATATCTTAAATATATAAAATAATGTGTAGTTAAAAAGAGCCAGCATCTATCAATATTTTATTGTCTTCATCTAAATATACTTATTTCATAATTAAGAACTCAATTTTAGAATGCGTGCATACACATGCATGCATATTTCTTGTATGTTTATTGATTTTTCTTCCTTTTTTTTAATACTTATTTAGTACAAATAAACATACATAGTAAGTAGCAACCAAGAGATATGGATTAAAATTTTAAAAACAAAAAAAATTAAAAATTAAGTGACTGATTTGACCTGTCCAACCATTAATTTTGACCGATTCAAGACCACCTCTCAGGTCTCTTAGTTTCTCCCTCATGTCTCAATTGAATACTGGACAAATTCCCGATTCAACCGGTGAAGCTGGCAGATCTAATTCTTATAGCCTACTATAATCATTCAAAACATCCCACAAATCAACTTATCTAGCGGTTTCATGGGATGACATGACTCAACTCTGAGGTAAAAACCATAATGCAATACTAAATTAATTAGTTACTGACTCGCACGGTCAAAATAACTGCCTCAGTCAGTCGAATGATTGCCAATGATACAAACAAGACTTCGTATGTTATCAGAAGCATTTGATGGACCTTCAACCATGTGATCCGTTCGCTTCAAGAAAAAAATTGACTTTAAAATTACGCTCAACTAGTTCAACTATAGCCTGACCATAGTTAAAAAAAAAAAAAAAACAAAGAAATCAGTAGTTATAATACAAACTAATAAAAGATCTTACAAGAACATGTAATGTAACACGTGAAGATTCACCATGAAACGAGATTTTATTCCGATACACTTGTACCCGTCAGAATCTCAAGCTGAGTACAATTGCTAACAGAGATACATAATGACACTTTTCACAAATTATTAGTTAACAACAAAATACGATAATAATTCGCAGATAAACACTAAATCACCATTAGTGTTTACGCAATGAACAATTTTCTTTCTCCATACCTTGATCTTTATTTGCCTTTTCAATCAAAATCAACATAGTGTACATCAATTTCTTCTTAGGTTTTGAGTCTGAGAACCAAAGCTTTGTAATGTTTCAGAGTCTTGCATTACGTAGTTGCTGCTTCAGCATTGGTCGAACATACTCTTGAAAGCCATCAGGTATCACTGAATCATTCAGGGGATCCTTCCATGCCTCTTCGTATAGCTTGGGATACACGTTTCCGTCGTAGCGGCCAAGAACTGAACCAAGGTAGTGATCGGTGTGATTGAACGCATCCACTAGCGCGATAGCATTAGGACGAACCTGACAACATGTATTATCAAGTCACTAGCCTTGTAATGATGTTTAATTTATGAAGAGGAATAGTGTTGAAATGATTTGGGAAAAACCTGGGAATACAAGGACCTCAGCTGATCATTGGCAAGAGAAGCTTGTGTGGGAGTGATGCAGCCAGTGGAGAGAAAGTCACCCTGATGCTTGTGAAGGAGAAACAGAGCATATACGCTACATAGAATTTCTAATTGCTGTTTCACTCCTTTTCCAGGTATGTCTTGTTGCAACTTCTCAATGAATCTGAAAGCACTGGGTTGGTCAGCTTAAATGTAGAAGACTAATCTTGGAGTTTCTAGTAAAAACTTCAAATTCTTGACCTATTAGCTATGAGATTCTTTAACCAAAAGGAAAAAGCCATCACATATCACACCACTGTAATCTATATGAATAATACAGGCACAGGACAGAGGAAAAGTGGGGAAGAAGCAACAATGACAACAAGAAGCCTCATTTCACTAGGTGAGATCAATTACATGGATTGCACGATACTATTATGCTCTATCAATAATCAAGCCTTAAGATATATTGTTAACTAAAAAGTCTCATTCAACAACTTCCCTAAGTGTAGAAGTGTGGAAGAAAGAGAGAAATAAAACCTTTCTATTACGCACTGACCCAAGATAAGTGAGATCATCGTTTATGAGACAATTCAGCTGTGTGTGTGTCAAAAAAATCGCAAGATTCAATCATCACGCAGATGAAGGTAAGCAATCACCACCTCATTAGTTGCAGCTATTGACAAGTGAGAAAATTATAAGAAAGAAGCTTACTTGGCAACAACAATTAACTGGCAATGAGCAACTGCTGCCTCAACTAGATCAGCTGAGAGTTCTTGGAACCCTGCCAAAAGAAGGGGGAAAAAGACATTTAATATGATCATATCTAATGATATACAAATCACAAAAGCCTCTCACCGTCAAACGCACTGGTGTCCTGAAATTTGTTAAGTTCAAATCAATAATGACTTTGGTCCCCCCCCCCTTTCTGGTTAGGTATCTATACAAACAGCATGCGCACAGGAGATACAATATGGAAGGTGCATATTCAGCCTATATTTCCAATGTGCATGTGTAATAAAACAGCATCATATCAGGAGTTGGATGGCTTGTATCTTTAAAATTCAAGAATTCAAGATATCTACGGCCTGATTGGCCTTCGACTTAACAGGTTCAGTTTTCCAGGGCATATCATTCCTCTCCCCCCCCCCCCCAAGAAAAAAAACTATCCATATCTTCCCACCAGAAGTACAACTTGTGAGTGAAAATCTTTTGGTCATACCAAAAGGGAGTGCATATTAACTTGTCACTTGTGCAAGATTGACAAACATACCTTCTTCTGGACTGGTAAACTTGCTAAGATTTTTAGCGCAGGCAACAGACATCCTAACAGCCCTAGCTTCAAATGTTTCCAGCACTACATTTGGCCTCAACCAATCCTTAGCTGCAACCAATGAAATCCAAGTACAAAACTATCACTTCTGAAGGGCATATGCATTGCTCATATTATAACTGAAAAAGTCATATTGGATTTGCTTGCTACAAAATTGATATGGCTAGAATATGTACATTATGGAGCAATTTAATTATACCTTCTTTAACATCAGATCGACATTGCATCAGATGTTCTGCTCGTCTCATATAAGCTGTTGTGCCAACAGGCATTTTTCCAGAGCCCAACTGAGAAATGGTCTTCATGAGATGCCTTGCCACCTGTAGGAAATTTTCTAGAAGAATGTCACACAACGCAAGAGACTTGAATAATATCGAACAACTAATCAGACATGAAAACTTCTGCATAAAATCAGCAAACAGTCACGCAAACACAAAATAAATAATTGAACATAATTATTTTACATGTTTCAACCATAACAGGGGTTTTTTAATGCTCTAAAATGCTATAGATTTTGACAACCCAGAAATATAAAATTACTTTAGAAAAAAAAATTGAAGGCATGCAACATCTGATATATAAATAAAACTCAAAAAATACAACAACTTGTAGATGTCCTTAAGAATGTATGAAAGCCAGTGGACAATAAACAAATCCCCAGCTCTTCATAAACAGGCCAGCTGTCATGCTGCACTTTCAGTATCATTCAGGGACAAGGAAGAATGTGGTACATAGTATAACAGCTAGTCTGAAGTAAGCTGTACTCTTTGAGTCTATGAAGCACCCTGTATTTTTTGAGCCCAAGAAACTAAGGTGTACATAAAATACCACGGACCTGTAAAAGTAGCACAATGTTGTCGCCTTCATAAGTGCAGGCTGGAACATAGACTGCAAATAACTCAGGAAGCCCACTGCTACAAAGGTAGCCATGCCCACCGCATAGTTTACGACACTCTTCAATACCATCCTGCAAATGGAGGTGAACTTAAAATGAACTTGAGAGAAGTCAAAGAAAATATTTCTGAAAACCATGCATAAGGACACCTTAAATGGAAAATAGCACTGTGATAATGTCCGAGAAATTTGGAAGCTATAAATTCTGAATTAAAGAGAAGAATAACTATCCAATTAGTATGCAACTTGACGGACATAACTGACAATATTGAATTCTAAAGGATAAGACTAAATTGAAGAATAATTGAGCTGTCAAAAGACAACAAACACAGCATGTTGTGCACCAAACCTTAAATTTACAAAGTTGACAGCAAAGTGATGTTAAATTGACATGCTAAAAGAATCATGGCCTAGAATCCATACACAATTCATTTAACATTTCAAGCAATGATGCTCAATCACACCCATTAATAGCATTTAGCTCATAATGTCAAAATTACACCTGTTAACGGCATTTTGTTCATAATATCAACAAATTAACAGATTAAAAAGAGCAGATCAAAGTCGGAGAACTGATAAAGCACAAGAAACCCACAACAGAAATGGAAGAAAACAACCCTACTATACTGAAAAAAAGAAAAAAATAAAAAGTGAAGGAGCCCTACGGTGATGACAATTTAAGCAGATTATGGGGAAGGTGATCTATCCATAACAATTGACAATTTCACTAGTAAATTGCATAGCATTATATATGCAGAAACAACCTCCTAGCCGAAATGTACTCATAGCAATATTGTCATCCCATTTAAAGCTGCCAAATAATTAATTTGATAGGACCTGAGACCATGAAACTAAAGAACAAAATTGAGCTTGGGACAGAACAAGCAAGGGCCCAAGATAATTAAATATACCAATAAAGACCAATTGGTAAAGGGATGAACAGCACTAAATAAGACATACAGCAGTTGCTGAAGTAGTCAAGGACTTCAACCCAGCAGTACAAGCATGAGCCTCAGGCAATGTTAAAAAATCATTAGCTTCCAGTCTTCTTGTCACATCCATATATAGCCATTTCAACCACTCACCAACAAATCTGAAAGCATAAGCAGAAGCCAGCAAAGGGAAGAGCCTAGCTTGCTGGGTCTTGTAATCAATTACCTAGAAGTAAATAGGTAGAATATAGAAAAAAGACACGTAATACACAATGAACAAACATATACAAATGGAAAAAATTTGACAGGAGAAACAGAAACTTTAGTGCATTGCTACTCAGAATATCAGTGATCCCACCTTTGATTCAAATGATGCAAACTCAACCAGCCTTTTTTTCACAGTCACTAGCCAATTTTCATGTTGGCTAGATGATAGATCTAAATACACATTTCAATATCATACAGATCACGTAGAAGATCAACAAAAAGTCCATCAACCTTCCTATTATAAATTATATACATATACTAGTGGAAAACAAAACCACTTCAAATCTAGACAGTCAGGATTATAACATAGATTAACATCTTAATTTCAAATTTTTCCTACAAAATTGGTTTCGTGACTTTCATCCCCCTCTTTGTGACATTCCAAAAAATTAACATCTTAATTTCAAATTTCATATTGTGAATTAGGGTTTAACCCCCTCTTTGTTACATTCCACAGATTACACAAACTAAAAAATAAAAATACTGAGAGAGATTTCCAGCAGCATAACTCCGTACAATACAAACTCTCCTGTAACCATGCATGGATTGAGGGCTTCAAAGCTTACCTGTGTTTCTGGACTTCCATTATGTGATCCAAACTGCCTTCGAACAGCACTATACCTTGTAGCAATGCAAACTGCTCGTGACAAAGCAGTTGATGCATCTGACACAATTGTTTGCCTCACATATACCATAGTACCATAGACTAACTGTCGTGGAACATTGGAATGAACATATTTTCCTTCTCTTGTCACTTGTGAAACCCTGGTAGATTCAACATAAAACTTAGGAACAGCCGTGCACCAGATCTATTGACAGTAACTGATAATCACTATGCATCATTTTAAATGACTACAAGAGTCCATTTAACCTCATCTTTCCATGGATCACATTTTCTATCCCACCATTAATCTTAACAAAGATTAGCAACTTCTACTGTACTCAAGTTGAACACCACTCCTTCCTGGGTGTTCTTTTCCTGTTATTCTTGCTTACCAGTTAAAAGTTTTTCAAAGTATCTGAAAGAAATTCCCAATTAGAGAATTGCATTGGACAAATAATCTTATATTAATAAATTCGCAGTTTCAGGATTCATAGTTGCATGCAGCAATCTTTAGCAGTTTTCTTGTCCTGGAAGCCTCTTTGAGAATTTGCTCTCCGAATAAAAGAAAACATAGTAACCAAAGCAATGCTCCAAAATCTATTTTCTTCAACAAACTGGCATAACCAATCAACCTTCTAATAGAGAAATCTCCGGAACTGAATAGATGATTTAAAGCCTCTTCTTTTGTTTTCTGGGATAAGGACAGTGGGCATCTATCACACGCAATGCATGAAATGTCTGATAGATAATCTCTTCCTAGGATAGTGGAGTTGGCAAAGTAGAACTAACCTCATTAACATTTGATTCCTCGGAATCCGTACATGGTCAAATCTAAGAACCCCATTGTCCATGGTGTTGTAAGCTGCATTTCCAAACTTCATTCCAATGTCACCCACTGTTATTCCAGGAAGAGGTAAGTGGTCATCCAAGCTCCGGAGCTGGACAATGAAACCTTCAAATTGGACATCTAGTTAGCTGTTTAAGTCTGAATCTGAAACCAGACACTTGGATGGTTAAGTTTGATATTTACCATGCACCCCCCGATCTTGACCATCAGTAATTAGACGGGCATAGACAACAGCATGGGTTGAGATTTTACCCAATCCACCAGGCCACCACTGTTTAAGTCGGATTCAGAGAAGTCATGATATTTGATATTTTTATGAACACATTTTCTTCGCAAAAATACTTCTAAAAACCACATAATGCTGTGGAGGCATTTAAAAAGCTAGAATTGTCTTTTCCTGGTTATGGATTTATGAATGCATTCAAAAAGTAAACAAAAGATTGTATGATCTAAATTACTTATTACTTCCAAAAGGACTGGTAGAAGACTCTGACTCATCACTCATTTTACTCACTTTACAGGAAGTTAATGTGGGGCTATGAATAACAAACTCATCCGTTTGGGGATCAAAGGTTGCAGTTGTTTCAAGCCCTTGAACATTGGATCCATGGCCAAGCTCTGTCTGGGCATAAGAACCAATGATTTGCATCTTATAAGCTAAAGGCAGCCACTTTTGCTGCTGCTCATCAGTGCCTTGGCCTTTGATAGCTGGCACAAACATTCCCTGGGAGAGAATATAAATAAATAAAATTTAGTTGAAGCAGCTGAATTGACATCCGTTTCAAAACAAGAAAGCAATCAGAGCCAAAATAAAAAATTCTACCCAATGAAGATCTGTAAATGCAGGCTCATCAATAAAGGATCTAAGTCTTCTAGCTTCTTCTTCTGTAATAATAGTAACTACACTGTTATAAAGCATGAAAAATAGGAAACATAAAGGACAACAAATTTCACCTGAAAAAAAAAAAAAAAAAGCTGGCCATAGAAGAAATGAAGAGAACAACTGGATACAAAGAATTCAGGAGAAAAACTCACCGTTAAGACGGAGCTCAATGATCCTTTTCCAAGCAGAAGCTGTTTTCCGTAAAGTGTTCTTGAATAATTCCTTTCTACCTAGCATGGTCCTATTATCCTTTCTGAAAGCCTAGAAACGACAAACAACCAATCAAGGTTTGAGGAGGTTGCAAAGGCAACAATCATCATCTATTTCTAAACTCTCACAGAAGGGGGAATACAGAAATTGTTTCCAACCAAGCTACTTTACTGGCTTGTGTCATATAGTAATTTGTGTAACCTTAACTAATCACCGATGATACTTCATTATGCTTATAGCTATGAACCAGTTCTTATCCGCAGTTATCCTACGGTAGAAAAGTCTTAACAACAACTGAATGGCTTCTAATTTTTCCAAAGTTCGATTTTAAACTTATCAATAACCTTGCACAACACAGAGCAGCATTAACAACGAACATGAATTTATTTGTGCGAGGTAGAGAAGCTAATTTTGTCAACCCAAACATTTTCACGTCTAACTATTATATCAGGGGGAAAAAAAAGAAAAGAAAAAGAGGTATCATGAAAATGAACTCTGATATCTGCTCTAATGATCAACTCGAAAAGCTCAAATTCAGTGAGGTGGCTAGAAAAAGTTTCAGTAGAAGCAACTCACGGGATCGCTGGCAACAAGGCGGGCAATTCTATCGGAAACTTCAAAAGCATCACGAGAACCGGCCCAGACGATCTTCATCTCTTCGACATCAAATTGTGCCTTGTTCCTCTCAGGAGCCAAGTAGTCAACACCTTCCATTTTCAGACACGAATCAAACACAAATCCTAACAGAAACACCACAAATTTGCCGGTAAAATGCAATTGAAAGTTGAAACGCTTGAGCTTTGGACGAGGACTGCGATCAGCTCTGATTCTGAAGATGGGATATTCATAAAGATAGAATACCCCTCATTTTTACACTGACGTTGCTAGTGCGCCGTCCTGTTTATAGTCTTCGAAAGCTACTTTGTTCCAAAATAACAGACGCCGCGATAAAAATAAAATTTTATTAATTATACTTTTTTAATATTATCTTTTTTTATCTTTTTATTATGTTTTCTCATTTTAAGGTTTTTGTAAAAATTTATTTTTATATTTTGAAAAATAAGATTATAAAATGTGTTTAATAAATTTTATTAATATGTATAATTTTATTACAAATATTTTATAAATTAATATGAAGGGGTCAATGACTTTAAAATCTAATGTCACAAGTTGAATTCATTTGAGTCAACAATTTCAAGAGAAAATTATATCTAAATTTTACATTAAAAAATTTATTATCAAAAATTTTACAAAATTTATAAAATATTTTTAAATTTTAAATTATATATGTTTACAACTTGACTAAAAATATTAACAATTGAACAATGAATATTTACAACTTATTATTGTAAATTTTCATATTTCTTTAAAAATTGTAAATTGATGTTATGCAGTTGTTAATACCCATAATCAAGTTATAAATGTGTAAAATTTGAAACTTAAAAATATTATGTAAATTCTATGAATTTGTTTAATAATAAATTTTTTTATGTAAAATCTAGATGTAATTTCCTTTAATTTGAAGTTGCCTCTCTAAATAAATAAATAAAAAGATGGAAGGGATTTTTTTTAGAGGAAAAAGGAGATCTTGAAAGCAATTAACGAGCTCCGTACCCCACCAATTTCCCCATTTTTATTTGTCGAATCGCTGCTTTGTTTTCTTTTGACTTTATCATGAAAGGATCATCGTTATATATATATATATATATATATATATATATATATCCATTTTTCACGTGGCTCACTTCGTCTATTATTTTTCTAAACGTTTAAGATTCACGGAGCTTGAGAATGAAAAGTATCAGGTCGGTGATGTGTTCACAGCCACTAACATGGTTTCTAGATGAGATTTGCATACCGTTATATTAACAATGATTTTAACTTAATAAGGATCAAGGGAATAAATCACAGTATTAATAAAGATAATTTATCTTAATTTTTTTATTATAAAATATTAGTATACACTGTGTTTCTTTGTAACAGTATGATTTATTTTCACAAAAGACAAAATAGCAATTTTATTTTACAAAGAATATCTTTATAACATGTATCAAAATATTTAAACAAAATCCATAAATATATATATATATATATATATATATTATAGATAACAGAAAACTGGATAGAAGCAGGTGCCGTTAAATAAAGTTGAGAGTATGGGTTGGTCAAATTACTATACAGCATTGAGGACTTGGGTTTGGATTGGTATTGGGAAAAACCCAATTTAATGTGTTTGGTACAAAGAATTGAGTCTTACCTGAGTTTGCTTAAACCCACTTAAGTGGAATTACTCAAACCCACCTCTCTCCTGCTATTGAGAAATTAGACCTGGTTTGCAAAATTTTACGACAAAACTATCCCTGGCTATAATAATTTTCGGACAAAAATGCCCCTGTGAAATTTGCCTTGATAAAACCGCCTCATGCTCATTCATATCACTGCTGAGCAGAGCATGATCTCCATGGCGGCAAGGGACCTTCTTCGTCGATCTCCCTGTCGCTTCATTCGTCTCCTTCGTCATGCCATCAGGTACTATCACTCCATCCTTCTCCTTCGTCTATATTCTTTGCTTCTGGGTTTCGCTTCTATTGATCTGGAATCTGCAGCTTCGGATTCCTATTTCTTGGGGTAATATACTTGAGATATAGGCTTTATCTTCTTCTCTTTGTTTGTACTTGCCGAAGAAATTGTTTTCTTGCTCTTATAATGGTTGCAATTGCATCCGTTATTATCGATTTTATTCCTCTGTATTTTATTTCCATCCCTTCACTTCAATGACTTCTTATTTTTCAATGTTAGTCTGGTAAGAAGCATCCACTTCAATGCGTCACTTTTTCAATGGCGAGGGACCAGTCTTCAATTTTATGAAGCAATGCACTCGATGTTGTCCAAATCGGTCGACTTTTTCAATGGTGAGGGCTATTCTGTGCTTCAATCGGTCGACTGGTCAGAATGAGGGATAAGTTACATTTTTCTTAATAAATTCAGGGAGGTATTATGGTATTTTTATAATTTATGATTAATTGAAAATAAAAATAAAAATAAGTATTCTCTGCTATTATTACTCTATATCAAACATGATTATAAAGCCCCAATCCCAATCCCAATCCCAATCCCAATCATAGTCTCAATCCCTTCAAATTGAGTCCCATGTACCAAACATGGCCTAAGAGTTAGGTTGAAAGTTGGGGGGGTGAGGGATGGACTCAAATAAAAATAAATTTTTATATGAAAAATGAAAAAATGAATTTTTTTTAGCTTGAACCAAATAATTTATGAATTAAATAAGCAAAACCTTAATAAGTTAAGATTGGCCCGTTTAGCTTGTAATATTTATAAAAAATAAAATATAAAAATAGGGAGTTTTGGTGCCACAATTTGACAAAACAAGTAGATTTAAAATGAATTGTGATTAAATAGATCACTCATATATTTATGAAGTGAATTTTTTTTTGTATGAAATATTATATTAAAATTTATCATTTAGGTGTATTTAAAAAAATTATGAAAAAAAAAATTAACACACCAATCTATAAGGGTTGAGTTGGATTAAAATTTTTCTAACTCTTATAAAAATGAATTGAATTCAACTTATATTTTTTTCAATCCATAAGAATCAACCAATATATTTCAAGTTGGCCATATTACCAACTTTATACCTACATGATACTAGAACATGAGTTTAAATGTTTATTAAAAAAAAGAACATGAATTTAAATATGTTAAAAATGCATTTTAAAATAAAACGTGTTTTTCAATTTAATAGTGCATGGGGCAGGCACAAGATTAGTCATGAATCACTCAAATATATGGCGGTGCCATTCTCATGCGGATCCATAGGGAGTGGCCAACGGCATGTTGTTACAGTGACATAGATGCTTCCTTGAAAGAGTGGGGGAAAAAAGTAAGTGGGAGCAACTGTAGTCTGCAAGTCCTAAATTATATGGGTCATTACTTTTGAATGATATTTATCATTATTTTAAATTATAAAATACTTTTAAATAAAAATTTTTACATTAATAAATTTTATTAAATATATTTAATAATTTTATTTTTTCAAAACAAATATATAAAATTTTAAATGAAAAAAATTAGCTTTATAGCCTCAAAAAATATAATTCCCATAAATTATAGATAAAGTTTTTGAATATTTTGAAATATGGCCCATTCATAAAATTAATTAGATGTATTTTTTTCATCCTCAGAATAAATTTATTATTAAAATAAAATATATATAATTTAACTAATCTTTAACTGATTGAATCTTTCATTTTTATTATCAAAAATTGTATTGTGTATGCTTCTCTCTAATTTATCATTTCTGAATATTTTTTTCATCAAATTTTCCTGAATCATCATATTCATCTTCGTATAGTGTTTTTTTTGTCAAAATTTTTGATCTAATTTTTCTAAATTATCATCTTCATCGCAGAGCTTTTCCTCTCTTCCTTTCTCTATTTTTTCCAAATATTACGAGGAGAGCATTAGACATTGAAGAGAAAACCCCATTACTAATTTGCGATACTATATCATTGATATATGGCTATATATCAATGATAGATAAATTAGTAATTTTCACTGATATGAGTTATATATCAGTGATATATAACAGTATATCACTGATATACTAAGATCAACATAACCAAACAATCAATATAAACTTGTTTATAATTAATATACAATCGTATATCACTGATGTTGTATCGCGATCAGTAATATAAAAAACACATAATCATTTGCCTAAAATGAATCAAACATAATCCACAAAAAATTTTGGACTCTTAGCTTATCATGAAAAATTAAATACCTAAATTAATAAAATAAAAAATTATGAATCTGTAGCTTCATTTCCCACTGGCGTGCTTCGTTCCGTCAAGTAGCATCGATTTGTCTCACCTTGCTTTTGTCATGATTGTGGGTCACTTGCACTATTCTGCTATCTCGCGTTTATCTCTTTTGTGTCAAGTTTTGTCTTCTCTCTCTCATTTATCTCTCTTATTCTAGAGATTTCTTACGTTTTGAATTCCCTGATATTTGAAAAAAAATATATATTAAAAAGGACAGTTTTAAATTAATTATAATCTAAATATTAAAAATGTTATTTTTGAATTTCAAGAAAGGATAAACTATTTATTTTACTTGGTCTTATAATATAAGTTATTTGTGCAAAAGTCCCCTTTTAAAATACCCTTTATTTAATATATTAAAAAGCTAGAGGAATATAAATTAAATAGAAAAAGAAATGGTAATATTAAAATAAATTTATTTGATGAAATCTTAATATTTTCATAGTTTTTATATTTTAAAACATCAAATTTCTTTTTAAAATATTTTATAATTTGGGACGGATGTAATATAATCCTTGTTATAATAACAATAAATATTATCATATTTTGTTGATATTACTGACTTCTTTAAGATTCAGTAAATCGGCTTTTATGAATTATTTTATCTTATGTCCTCCTCAACTCTTTCATTCATGAATCAAGATTTTAAGTACATGAAAGTTTACGTGTACCAAATACATAAGTGATTCTTCGATTTTGAAAATTGTACATCATTATATGAATATAAATAAATTCAATCTGCATGTTAGTGTTTAATGATTGGTGACTTATAAATAGAGACTAATATAAAAATCATGTACATACATACGGATCAAAGTGAATGAAAAAATCCTTCTCATTTATCCTCACTAAAATTTTCTCTTGCTCTAATCATGTTGTTTATATTCTCATTAGTTTTATAGTTTTTTATTTTATTTTATACAATTGAGAGGGTTCAAAAAATTAAGAGGTGAGATATGAATCTGGGTTAGTTGCGATGGACCCTGCAGAATTCAAGTTTTGATAATGGAAAGATAGGGCCT